ATATCTCTGTTTAGCTTAGATCTTTAGCTCTTCCATTCACGGTGTTGGAATGGACCCTTCCAACCGTTCCAAAGCCAGTCCAGAATGGTCCTTCTACGCCAAAAGCAAAGGAAGCTACACCTAGAGCATCAGATGGACCATCGTCCCCAAAAGCGGTTTCATCAGAATCTAGTGAGCTTTCTTGCAGAAGTATTTTTGATGATTTTGTCATTAGTCTAAGTGCCTAAAAGTATCTAGATAGTTTTATTTGTTTATAAAAGAATACCCCTGAATCCTGATTATGCAAGTAGCTTTTGTGTGCAGCAGCTGCAAGCTCGGATACATCTCAAGATGAAGCCACAGAAAGCTTTGCATTTGCACTTGTGAATGGAGCACTTGGAGTTTTTGAGGTTCACGGACGGAAGATCCGAGATTTTAGGTACTGTGCTGTCCATTTCTACACTGTCAAAAAAGCTATGTCGTTTTCTGGGACTAGTGCATCACACTTTCCCTGTGATTGTTAATCATCATGTATTAGTCATGCTATCTATAGTGCTTTACCTTGCTTATGTTGTTTCTTCTGGTTTCTTTTTCCCTGTGCTAGACCAAAATGGCCTTCTTCTTCATTTGTTTCATCTGATGGGCTAATCACAGCAATGGCCTACCGTTTGCCTCATGTGGTATGCACAACGATCTAGCTCAATCTGTCTAGTTTATCATATTTTGATTCTCCCTCACTATCAATTCTGATCCAGTGACTGAATATTTCTCAGGTAATGGGGGACAGAACAGGGAACATAAGGTGGTGGGATGTAATAACTGGGTCATCTTCATCGTTTAATACTCACCGAGAGGGAATTCGAAGGCTTAAGTTCTCGCCTGTAGTCCCTGGAGATCAAAGCAGAGGCCGGATAGCTGTGCTTTTCTATGATAATACATTCTCTGTATTTGATCTTGTAAGTTTAAAAACCCTTCCAATTTACAGATCTTAGCATGCATTTTATACTTTAGTTTTGGTAACTGCATGAACCACTCTTGCCTTGATCTCCGTTCAAATTTAACCTATAGATGGATAAGATTTATTGATGTGCATTTTCCCCTCCGTTCTGTATGCAGGATTCACCAGACCCGTTAGCTAATTCCCTTCTACAGCCCCAGTTTCCTGGAACTCTTGTGTTGGAACTGGATTGGTTGCCCCTGAGAACTAATAAACATGACCCTCTGGTATTGTGTATTGCTGGAGCTGATGGTAGCTTTCGCCTTCTTGAAGTTAATGTGTATGTTCCTTATACAAGGAATCAGTTTCTATTTTATGCTACAAACTATCCAAACCTGATCATTCAGTATTACTTTCTACTCTAGGAGTTTACTGTAATTATGCTAATCTCCTCATAAAAAAAATTATGCTAAACTCTTCAGTGTCTACTTTTGACACGTAAACCCAAAGAGTTTCCGACTTGCATTGTGAATTGTTCTCCCAAATTTGACTTGGTAAATGACATAATTGACGTTTTTAACTTGAGGAACGAATTAATTGTGTTCCATAATTTCCCCAAAAATTCTATGTTAAGATCTTTTAAGAGAATAATTCACAATGCATAGATTAACTTGGGTAATTAATCGTGTGGCACAATTTTCCTTAGGAATTTTAAAGTTAGATCTTTTATGATGTTTGATGCTAATTTTTTGGCCGATGCTGTATATGCAGGCAAGATAAAAGACATGGCTATAGACCTCAGCATCAGACAATTAAAGAGAGATTCCGCCCTGTTCCAATTTGCTCTCCCATACTACTACCTACTCCCCATGCGCTGGTAATTATTTTTCTTCTGTGGTGATTTTATCTTTTCTGTATGAAGCCCTTATTGACCCGAAAGCAGACCGTCTGCTTCTGATGTTGTTTTTATTGCAGGCTTTGCGTATGATCTTGCAATTGGGTGTGAAGCCTTCATGGTTTAATACTTGTAGCACAGCCATTGATAAGAGGCCACACTCAATTCCTGGGGCTTCTTCATCAGCAGGGGATTTACGTAGTTACATGATCGATCTACCAGCTATTGGTGATTCTGTGGTGCCAGAAATGCTCCTTAAAGTCTTAGAACCATATCGGAAAGAAGGTGTTTATCGTAAAGTCTTTTTGTTCTTCTTTAAAATGGTTTATTCCCTTTGCTTGTCTTCTAGTCACAGTTTGATTGTTTACCTTTACATATTTTCCAGGCTGCATACTTGATGATGAAGTAGCAAAACTCTATGCAACTGTCGTCAATAAAGGTTCTGCTGCAAGGCTTGCATTTGCGGCTGCTATTTTTGGTGAAGTCTCAGAAGCACTCTTCTGGTTGCAATTGCCTCGTGCTGTGAAGCATTTGATGAGTAAATTAGTTAGTAAGTCACCGCTGAAACCTGCAATGTCGGCAACAATGGCAGAGCTAGATGGTGCAGTAATGTTGACCAGAATTGCCTCGAGGGAAAAGTCAATGCCTACTATGGGGAAAACAGACTTGACGGTGAGAGAGATCTACACAATTTGTTTGTTGCTTGTACTAAATTTAATTCCTTCCAGTACTTGAATGTAAGTAAGATTGTTTTGACTTCGCTTTCTTTGTAGCAGAGTCAGGGTCAACACAGATTGATGGCTTTTCAGCAAGAAGAGTTGTGGGAGAGTGCCAACGAGCGTATTCCATGGCACGAGAAACTGGAGGGAGAAGCAGCCATCCAGAATCAAGTGCACGAGTAAGTCTCTCTCACCTCCAAAGAATTATGCTGTTGCTTTTATGTTTTGAGGAATCGGATAGCACAGAGTATTCTAATAAACCAGGTGAATTGCCTCATGAATTCTTCACTTCATTAACAGGCTTGTGACAGTTGGGAATTTAGAAGCAGCAGTTAGTTTGTTGCTTTCCACTCCTCCAGAGAGCAACTACTTCTACCCGAATGCTCTACGTGCAGTGGCTCTTTCTTCTGCCGTGTCTAAGTCTCTCCTCGAACTTGCTGTAAAGGTGAGAACATTGTCTTTGGACCCACTGGAGAAATCAACTTTTACATAACTTTTCAGTGACACTATTCTATCACATGAACATTTTAGGTTGTTGCGGCCAACATGGTCAGGACTGACAGATCACTCTCTGGTACTCATCTACTTTGTGCTGTTGGAAGGCATCAAGAAGCATGTTCACAGGTTAGTTCTATTCACCATCATATCTCGTACATTCACATCATCTCATTCCTCTGTTTTTGGTACGCCAAATGAAAAGAGAAAACGCACGAAAAAGTAAATAGGCAAACATTTCAACTTTGGGAGGGTACTGAATATCGTATACACACACATCTGTACATTACTTGTGCAGCTGCAAGATGCTGGGTGCTGGACCGATGCTGCAACTCTTGCAGCTACACATTTGAAAGGATCAGATTATGCAAGGGTGCTGCAGAGGTGGGCAGGCCATCTCCTTCACACGGAGCATAATGTTTGGAGGTACACATCGCTTTTATCTCATTTCACAGCTTCATTGGCCATAACTCGACAATGTTTTGCTAACCACATCATGACCCCTCGTTGTTACGACGTAGGGGGCTTATATTATACGTTGCTGCTGGTGCATTGCCCGAGGCCTTGGCAGCACTCCGCGAGGCCCAGCAGCCCGATACAGCTGCCATGTTCATGCTCGCCTGCCGTGAAATCCACTCCGAAATCCTCTCCAATGCAGAGGACGAATTAGGTGGTTCGTCGACCAAGGATCGGCCTCCTAACTTGCCCGGTCTGGAACCGGAGAACGAGGATGTTTTGGTTGTCGGTGAATACTTCGGACAGTACCAGAGGAAGCTGGTGCATCTCTGTATGGATTCTCAGCCATGTTACGACTAAATCTCGGCAACCAGTGAACCATTACTACTACATATAGAAGTAGTAACTGATGCGAGATTCATCCCTATCGTTGCCAGTGTACTTCTGCTGCCGCGCTCTACGCTGGCATATCTGTTGCTGTTGTAATGGTTGCGAGGAACTTTTTGCAGGTAGATCGTCATTTTGCTGCTTTTCTGGGTACATAATATTATGATGAAAAGGTAAATTGCTTTATAGCTTCATTCTTTTTGCAAACAACAAACAGCTTTTTTTAGATGGTTTTGACTTTTGAGTGTTGAGCACTTCTACCATGCTATATAGTATTGGTGCTTTAATGTACAACTTGAAGTTGTACCATAACATTAAATGTATAAGTTTAGGTTGTACCATAAAGCAATTTGTACCATTATGTTATGGTACAACTTTACAACTTGAAGTTGTACCATCACATAAAAGTACAAGTTCAAGTTGTACTATAAAAGAATTTGTACAAAAAGTATAGGTACAATCTAAAGTTGTACCATAACGTTAAAGGTACAACTTCAAGTTGTACCATAAAGGCAAAAACCTATAGCACCAATGCTATATAGTATTGTAAAATTCCTCTTGAGTGTTGTAGCGGGAAAATTTCTGATATTGGTATATGACGATCAATCTTGTTTTAGACGATCTGGGATCGCGGCAATTATAAAATGGGCCTCTAAGCCCACTTTCGGCCCATCTTCCTATTTCTTCTCTATTTCGGTGATTCCGTATCCTACAAGGAACCAGTTCGGTACAGTAAAAAAAAAAAGAAAAAAAAGGAACCAGTTCGATCATTCACACCTATATAATGATTCAGGCAATTGCCCATTTTCCCGTTCAGCGATTCCCACTGTTTCACAGAATCATCTTTCTTCTCCCCCGATTCGCCGCCGATCGAAGAAGATGCAGAAGGCTACGCTACAAGCTCTCTACATTCCACCTTCCAAACTAGCCGTAGCGAAGAAATCCGGCTGCGGCGGCGGCCAAGATCATAGCAACGACGAAGCGTACCAGAGGCTCACCTGGGAGGCTGGGACGCACTGAAGAAGAACATCATCGGCCTAATCAACAAAATAAACTCCTCAAACATCCGCAATGTAATCCCAGAGTTCTTCGCCGAGGACCTGGGCCGCGGCGCCGGCCTCTTCTGCCGATCATGCCTCAAGTCGCTGATGGCCTCCCCACCTTCACCGGCGTATTCGCAGCGCTGATCGCCGCCGTCAACTCCCGAATCCCCGAGATCGGGGCGCTCCTCCTGAAGCGGATCGTCTGGTAGCTCGACAAATCCCTCCGCTGCAACTACAAGCCTCGCGTTTCGCGCTGGTCAAATTCGTCGCGCACCTCGTCATTCAGCGAGTCGCTCACCACACCCTCGCTCTGGAGCTGCTCCACCGCCTCCTCGAAAACCCTAGCGACGATGGCGTGCAGCTGGCGGTCGCGTTTCTGACCGATTGCGGAGTGGTCCTTCAGGACCTGTCGCCGAGAGCGCTGGCCGCGGCTTTCGATCGGTTGCGCGACGTTCTACACGGGGGGAGATCGACAGGCGAGTGCAGTTTCTGATCGAAGGCCTTTTCGCTGTTCGGAAGGCGAAATTCGGAGGCCACCCTGCGATTCGACCCGAGCTGGATCTTTTACAGGATGACCAGCAAATCACTAATGATGTTTCTCTCGAGGATCACGTCGATCCAGAGCTAGGTCGGAATGTGTTCAAATTCGACCCCGATTTCGCGATACACGAGTCTCAGGAAGAAGAAGAAGAAGAAACCTCAACCGGTTCAGAATCTGAATCAGACGAATCGGGAGAAGAAGTAGAAGAGGATCTCAAGATCAAGGACAGGACAGAGACGGATGCAGTGGAGCTCCGCAGGACGATCTACCTGACGATCATGAACAGCGCGAGATTGGAGGAGCTCGGCCACAAGCTGCTCTCTCTGAACATTGAACCAGGGCAGGAGATCGAAATTTGCAGGATGCTAGTCGAGGCTTCTGCGCAGGAGAAGAGCTACAACAGGATGTACGGTCTTTTAGGGCAGCAGCTCTCGATCAAGCTGCGCTGAGCCTACCGGATCAGCTTCGAGAAGTGCTTCGCGGAGCACGACTCGATGAGCCACCGGCTGGAGACCAACAAGTTGAGAAATGTGGCCACATTCTTCGCCATTTGATTGCCGCGGATGCTCTGGGATGTTTTGGGGTATGTTCGGCTTAAGGAGGAGGAAAGAGACAAAGTATAATACCGTACGTAAAAAAACTTTTACGTAACTTTCCCGTATCGTATTTTACTAACTATGTTGCTTCCTGTTTTTTTTTTCAACACGTCACTAAAATCAAAATTAGCATAGTCTCATCCTCCAAACAATATAAGGAGGTTCTCCTTCGTAAACCATTTCATTCTATTTTCTCTGGCTTCTGCGCAGTCTTAGGAAGGAGTCCTTGGTATTTTATTGTTTTTATTTTTTAATTCAGAAAATTGGCTTCTTGGGCTTGGTGTTTATATTTGTGGTCTGAATGTTTTATGGTCCTGGAAACTTTTTATTTTAATTATTGTTTTCAAATTTAGAACTTGGGTTTCAATTCTCTACGTGGGTCTGACGCTTTGATTTAGGATAAATCCAAATATGAAAAAGGTTACATTGCAAGTATTGATAATATGTTAGCTTAAAAATTAGGGTTAATATATTTGTATGACTCGAACTTTTGACAAATTAAACATTCTGATTAATCTTTTCGATTTATTGTGACATCAACTATGCATCAAAGTTAAGAAATTGGTCAAATCTGAGATTTAAATATTATCTTAGAAGGTCAAAAGCATTGACTAACGGTCAATGTGCCACGTCACTGTCGAGTCAGCACAAACCACTTAAAATTTTTGGTTTTTTCCACGTATCACCATTTATCTTTTTCAAAATAAAAACGGACGTTCCTTTTTTCCTTCTTTTGTTCAAAATAAAAAAGATAAATGGTAATAGGTGGAAAAAACCAAATTTTAAAGTGGTTTGTGCTGAATTTGCAGTGATGTGGCGAATTGACCGTTAGTCAACGCGTTTGACCGTCCAAGATAACGGTCAAATCTCGGGTTTGGCCAATTTCGTAACTTTGATGCATAGTTAAGGCCACGATGTTATAGATCGAAAAGATTAGCCAGTATATTTAATTTGTGAAAAGTTTGGGCCATCTAAATATATTAACCCTAAAAATCACTCAAAGTATGTGAATATTTCCAACTTAATCATCAACTCATGATATAGGTAAGTGAATATATTAGGATAACAACAACACATGGTTAAAGATGGGTGATTTCAAAGAACGACATGAGTCTAAGGTTGGGCATATTAATTTTTTAGGGTAAATACAATTTATTAGTAAAAGCGTTCGAATTTTTTAATTATTAGCTAAAACTTTCGAAATACAAAGTGTGGCCAAATATTAGCTTCCCATTAGCAGTTTATTAGTAACAATGACGTGGCAACATGATATTGGGTTGGAAAAGACAAGTGGAGGTCGACCTTCCAAAATTTAGTATTTTAATTAATAAAAGAGCTACAAAATTATTAACAATAACAGACAGATAGCTAATGTTTTGATACGTTACAAAAGATTTGTCGAATACTTTGTATTTTGAAGTATTTGGCTAATAATTTGATTAACCCTAAAAATTATTAAAGTATGTGGATATTTACAACTTAATCTTGAACTTATGATATAGGTAAGTGATATATTAGGATAACAACAACACATGGTTAAAGATGGGTGATTTCAAAGGACGACATGCGTCTAAGGTTGGGCATATTAATTTTTTAGGATAAATACAAATTATTAGTAAAAGCGTTCGAATTTTTTAAATTATTAGCCAAACTTTCGAAATACAAAGTGTTAGCTAAAGAAAATGAAAATAAAGCCAACAAAATAAGTGGTAATTTCTAAAAAAAGGAGTAAATAGAATTATAGAAGTGTCATTTGAATAAGCTTTTTAGGAGTCGACTCCTTGGTTTAGGATTTTTTTTTTTTATGCTAAGGATTTTAGTAAATGAACTAGCATGATTTTTGAAAATACTATGATGTTAATTATTTTGAATGTTTTCAACTACTAAATAATTTGGATTCTCTTATATTGCCTAACTTTTACAATTATTTTTATGTAATTTAAAAAAATAAATCCGGCCAACTGGTTGAGCCTATCTTGCTGCAAACAATTACTATTGGTATTTATAAATACATCCGGCCAACGGGCCGGGTTGAGATCTAGTTATAGTCTTATAGATATACTGATATCCTTGTGTCGACGTGGAGCAATTTGAACCCGAATTCCTTAGCAACATATTGAAACAAATCAAATGTATCTCATTTCGGGTTTAGTAATAACTCATAACTCTCATTTTTCATCTAATCTAGTATCTAGTTTGGTTAAGTTTTGAATCAAAACTGTATTTATAAAAAATCTTTTAATATTCTCCACTTACAAAATTATTTCATCAAGCAGAAAGTGGATAAATATTGGTTGGATGGAGGATACACATGATACTTGCCCCACCCCCCACAATACATTTCATAATAGTGCATCGCTAGCAATCAAATGTGCAAAGAACATGGCCACATTACTCAGCTTGTTCTTTTCTAGGAGGTGACTTATTGAGTATTGCGAATATAAGTATTTCTCGAAGTTGCTTCGATAGATTCTGCTGTTGATGGAAAGTCATTGGCATACAAATCTGTACATCTGGTCTTCTCCTAGATGCAAGTTTCTAAAAGCATTCTCTGCCAAATCCGAGCTCTTGACCCTGGTGCAATGTGCAATTATCATCCCTTCACATTGTGCACCGGGGCGAGAGCCCAAAATCAACACAATGTTGGTAGAAACTTGCATTATGGAGAAAAACTACAATAGGATGTACAATCTTGTAGGCTAATGACTCTCGATCAGCAGCAGAGATTACCGGAGTGACTTAGAGAAGTGCTTCGCTGAGCAGTACTCGATTAGCCACCAGTGGGAAACGAAGAAACTAAGGAGTGTGGTCATGTTCTTTGATCATTCGATTGCTACGGGTTCATTGCCTTGGGTATGTTCCTGACAAAGGGGCATGACCTGGTTGTTGAGGATCTTCGTCAATGGATGAAAAAAAGGTTGACGGAGAAAGCTATTGTGTCGGAGGATTTGATCTTTTCGAGGGATAGTGTGAGCAACAAGTGGGTTTCGACCAACTTATTTACATGTATAGGGCTTTGTAAGTTGATTGAAAAAACATATTGCGTAAGTCAGTGATTGAAAAAATGGTTGACTGTTAATTCTGACGGTCAAACCATCTCTCAGGCCAAATCTATCTTGATGTTCGATTCTAGGGTTAGGGATTTGGAGAGAATTGAGAGAAATGGGAATGAAAATGCGAAGAAGATAATTGACCCGAGCAAGTTTCAGTTCTTCTATTTCTGACTTTTTGGGCCGAGTAAGACTCGAGGCCCAACAGATTTAAATGAAGACTGGACCGGTTCGGGACTTAGACTCTTGACTTGGCTGCCTTAAAACTTCAACAAATGAAACAGAGAAGAAAGCAGAGTGAAGCAGTGAAGAACGAAAGCCAGAGTCAGAAGCAGGGACACAGCGATTTAACGAGGTTCACCAACAATGGCTACGTCCTCGTCCCGGTAATAGTCCACACTATTACCGAGAGACACTATATTATCTGATTTATAGACACGAGTACAAAGCATGAACAAAACACCAACCCAACAGAGTTCAATCCAAACTCTGTTAAACCCAGCCACTCTCACAGAACCTATACCTCTGGAGAAAACCTTCTTTTGCTCTCAACAACCTAGCCCTTTACCGCTATACTCGAGATTACAAAAGATGAATGAAATAGTCACAGCCGATCCAATATATACTGCTCCCTTGGCTAGCCGTTAGAAGAAAAGAGCCGTTGCTTGATTTACTCTGATTTGGCAGAGGATTACCAAAAATGCAGACTTTCCTTGAATGGCTAGCTCTGATCTTCGCCCAACAATCTCCCCCTAGATCAGAGCTTGCAAATGATTTAAGTCCTGCAGAAAAGAAGCAATCCACAGAGCAAGGTACCACATATGCAGCAGCAATCCATAAACCAACAAGTATGACAATAAAGAACTAACCATCCAGCAAATCAAGTCAAGCAAAGTCAAAATAGGGAAATAAAAGAACCAACTAAAACCGATAGTTTCAACCGAAGGACACTTAATAGAGATCACTCCCCCTAAATAGACTCATCGTCAGAGCTATAATCTACTAAACCTCCCCCCAGCCCGCCAGGTGCTACAGCAGCAGCAACGTAGAATCCTTCTTCAGCATAAGCAAGCGCTGTGGCAAACTGATCCAGAGTGTCATCATCAAGGTAATCGAGGGCCTCGTTAGCTTCTTCCATCGGGTCTTCTTCTGCACCTACCACAGGACTAGCTTCAGGAATAGCTTCTTCTTCTTCTTCATCTCCAGCATCCTCCCCCTCAGGATCATCTCCACTGTCCTCCCCTTCAGCAGCATCTATCTCCCCCTCGTTTGCAAGCTCCAGCTGAGCAAGGACTTGATCAATGGATAGAAAGTGAGCACTGAGTTCAGTCCGGAAGGAGGAAATGGGTATATTTAGGCGCACAATGAGTTTAGTGATAAGAGGGCCAAAGGGAAGCGGACCAGGAAAACTGGTGTCGCCGAAGGTCATAAAGACTCCAAAGAGAAGATAGGAGAAGTCCAAAGGGACATTGGAAACAGCGTGAGCCATAATCCAAAGGTCTAGAGGAAGAATAACATCAAGTGACTGAGTTCGAGGAAGCAGAATCCTGGAAATAAAGAAGTGAAAGGCACGAAGGCTAGGTAGAACTGAAGCGACAGGAATGAAAGTTGCTGGACCAGGATGAACACCAGTCAACTGAATGAACTCGGCTGCAATATTGAAGTTATACCTCCATAGTTCGGACTCATGAGTGAGAGTCTCACCAATGGGTGGAATATCCAGAAGCCGGGCTAAATCAGAGACAGGAAGAGTCACCTGGTGACCATAGACAACAGTAGAGAAACTACGACTATGGAGACCAA